TATTCTCTATCATTAATAGAATCATAAAAGCTGTCATTTGTGTACACTTTAGAACTAAGACAGATCTACCATTAACAAACAAAATACAGACAAAAAAGTGGGTATTTGTACTGGTTTACATCCCTTAAAAGAACAAGGACTCTTTGCATTTTCTGGGACTGTATTTTATTTATATGAATGCTACTGAAAGTGTGTTGGATGGGTTTATGAGCTCTAATCAGCCTTCTGGAAGTAGAGAAACCTGGCTCCAGTTGGTTATCTGTGGAAACAGAACTATGCTATTATACAGCTGCCTAGTAATAAAAGCATTATATGAGAATGTAGAGCTCAAAGCTGAATCACTGTTGGACATAATTTGTAAAATGTACTTGTTAACATATAAAACCTAACATGCTTCCAGAGATGCTCCCTGCTCCCCTCCCTCTGCCTCTTCTACCACCATTACCACTACCACCTGTGAAACTTCTGCTCCTTCTGCTTAGGGAAAGTTAGCTTAATGCTAGGAAGGTCATCAGAGGAGCAGCTTTGAAATAGGGGCTCTCAACCTAAGAGGCATCCTGATTCTCTTTGAATCATATCCTGCAGACCACTCTGAAACATTGTTTTAGTGTATGGGACACTTCCAACAGGGAGCATGATTCCACATTGATCTCATGATGTGTCTATTTAAATGGATGAGATTGTGTGGCAAGACTAAGAATAACAACATTCTGAGGTAGGCAGAGATGGGAAGTGTGTTCACCAGAAGGCATATAGGTCTATATGGCAGGTCCAAAGAATGAGACAATGAAAGAAATGAAATACACAACAAAGAGTGAAATGCAAAGCAGGAGGAACACATGATATGCAAACTATAGTCTCTTACCTAATCAAAGAACAGACTTCCACAGGTACGATGCCTGAATTGATGCTAAGAAATATGCAGATTGAGGACGCTGCTATGATAATTTAGGTAAAAAATAAGGTAAAACAGATCCATTTACAACTGTAGGACTGTAATCCAGAGACGTCAATGAAGTATCGAGCACCAATGAGAATAAGAAGGCAAAGAAATAAATGAAACAGTCAACCCAATAGGTAGATTTTATACACTGATGCTGAGTGATCAAGCAAATATTTATACTGACTCTTGGACAGTGGTTATGACCTTGATGAATGAGCAGGGCATTTAAGAAATAATGCTATAAAGAGAAATTGGGCTTTTGAAAACCATTATACAAGATGTACTTAAGACCACATTAAAATTTTTTCAAATTTACTTGTTTTGAGACAGAGACAGCATGAGTGGCGAAGGGGCAGAGAGGGAGAGGGAAAGAGAGAATCCCAAGCAGGCCCTGTGCTGCCTGTGCAGAGCCCGATGCAGGGCTTCAACTCTCGAAACATGAGATCATGACCTGAGCTGAAATCAACAGACACTTAACTGACTGAGCCACCCAGATGCCCCAAGACCACATTTTAAAGGTGTTTGTGGGCCGTTTTCAGCCCACCAAAAGCAGATTTCAGGAAAGAAATGTAATTACAAAGCTCATGCTATGTTTTCTCTGATATATACTAACTTGAGCTGTTGGAAGTATAATATTCTGAATCACTAAAATGAGCAGTCCCTACATGACTGGGAGAAAAAGAAACATTTCCCATTGATAAATGTACTACTTGTATATCCCCCATGCCAATCACAACATGAGTTAAGACACAGCCATTCACTTTACCTTGGGGGAAAAACACAAGGTTATACATAGTTGGTACAGTGGCAGGTGGCTATATAAGCCTGCTGCCAAGATAGGCCTATGCATGCATACTGACAGCAGTTGATATGGAGTAGCTGACTCATCTCTAAGACTAAAGGGAAATCACATAATCAAAGCCATGCAGACTGCTATTATAAAATACTCTGATGCCCCCATGTAATTTTGCATAATGGATCACATTTTAAAAATAAGGCTGATTTGCACTAAGCATAAGCTTATCATATTTAATGGATATATTACTATGCCAATCACCTTCGGGTGCTATGTAGACTGCTAGAATAGACTATTAAAGACTAAACTAAAAACTCTTAAGGTCAATTGCAACTGTGGTATCATAGCTGAACACAAGGATGATAGCAGCAGGTGTATCATGAGGAAAGCTGACTGAAAAAAGAACACACAGGGAGTTTCATACCAATTCATCTTGATATAATCTCTGCCCTACTGTGCAAATCAGCACAGGATGAAACGTCCCTGTTCCTTGTGTTGAAGATACAAACCCAAGAGAAGAAAAGCAGATTGTTCCCAATTGCTATATATGTATGTCACCAAAAGTAGGCTCGTACTATTTTCCAGATGAGGGTAAGCTTGAAAGAGATTTGGGTAATAGAAGAAATCATTGGCTCTGACTATGAAGATGAGTTATTTCTACTTCTGACAAATTTGGCTGCCAATAAGTTAGCATGGTAATTATTTCATACTCTTGCCCTATTAATTCTATATCTATAATAAAGGAAAGAAAAGAGGGAATTCAGGAACACCAGACATAAAACATTTAAAAAGCACTGCAATCTAAAGCCAGGTAAATTTTGTCAATGGTCCAGGAGATAATTACTAGATACTCTTGAGGAAGATGGAATACATTACCACAGTTACTGTTTCACACTCAAGCCTTGTCCAGGCTATGTCTATAGTCAGGGAAAAAAAGGGGGAATAAGATAAGATTTCCTGACTGGTGGATTTTTAAAACACATTTCTGATAAAAACTGTACAACCTAGAGATACAATTATATTCCTTATTATTTTTCCACACATAACAGAGAAATGATTAAACTATTTCCATTAAAAACAGGAACAAAATATTATCCACATTGTTATTTAATGTTGTCCTAGAAGATCTGGCCAATTTAATTAAAGTAAATAATAATATAAGGTACAACTTAAAGAAAGCAGGGGAAATTAAGGTGTCGTGCATAAGAATAATGACTTCAACACTGGGCGGACCCAGGTTCAAATCCCTGTTCCATACTTACTGGAATTATGACCTCATCTAATTGTTTTATCCTTTCTACATCTGCTTCAGAAAGTTGTAAAGATTAAGCAAAGCAAAACATGTGCAGTGCTTATAATGTGCATGGCATACAATAAACTGTAAGGGGGCACGTGGATGGCTCAGTCAGTTAAGCATCCAACTTTGGCTCAGGTCATGATCTTGCGGTTCGTGAGTTTGAGACTGGCATTGGGATCTGTACTGACAGCTCAGAGCCTGGAGCCTGCTTTGAATTCTGTGTCTCCCTCTCTCTCTGCCCCTCCCCCAATCATGCACATGTGCGTGCTTTGTCGCTCTCTCTCTCTCTCAAAAACAGACATTAAAAAAATAATAAAATGTAGGAATAATTGTTATGATGTATATATCATGACTACCTGCAAATGACACAGCTGCATACTAAAAACCCAGAAAACTAACTGAGAATTGGTGGAACAGGTAAACTCATTCTATAGCAAAAACCAATGATTTCTCCAAATATCAGCAATAGTATTAGAAAAAAAAATAAAACCCTGTAAAACAGAAATTTACAATTATGTACTATCAAGAAATCACCTTTACAAGAAATGTAACAAGTTTGAGCTTAAAATGATCAAAATCGTGTATAAAAGAAGAAAATGAGTAAATGTAGAAAATGAGTAAATGTAGATGCCCCAGGATAAGTTAATTTGTAGGTTTAAGGTAATATTGATAAATGGGAATGCAAGCTGGTGCAGCCACTCTGGAACACAGTATGGAGGTTCCTCAAAAAAACTAAAAATAGAACTACCCTACGACCCAGCAATTGCACTACTAGGTATTTATCCAAGGGATACAGGTGTGCTGTTTCGAAGGGACACATGAACCCCCATGTTTACAGCAGCACTATCAACAATAGCCAAAGTATGGACAGAGCCCAAATGTCCATCGATGGATGAATGGATAAAGAAGATGTGGTATATATATACAATGAAGTATTACTCGGCAATCAAAAAGAATGAAATCTTGCCATTTGCAACTATGTGGATGGAACTGGAGGGTATTATGCTAAGTGAAATTACTCAGAGAAAGACAAAAATCATATGACTTCACTCAAATGAAGACTTTAAGAGACAAAACAGATGAACATAAGGGAAGGAAAACAAAAATAATATAAAAACAGGGAGGGGGACAAAACAGAAGAGACTCATAAATATGGAGAACAAACTGAGGGTTACTGGAGGGATTGTGGGAGGGGGGATGGGCTAAATGGGCAAGGGGCACTAAGGAATCTACTCCTGAAATCACTGTTGCACTATATGCTAACTAACTTGGATGCAAATTTTAAAAAATTAAAAATAAAATTAAAAAAAATGTAATATTGATAAAAATTCCAATAGAATTTAAAAAGAAAGAAAAAAGAACAAAAATTACCCAAAAATGTGTCTGGTAAGGAAAAAGAGAGCATGTAACTAAGGCAAACACTGTAAAAAGAAGAGTAAAAAGGAAATGAGGAAAGAACTCTATCAGAAATTTAAATATATTCTAAATCCATAATTATTAATACAATGAGGTGCTGGCAGACAGAGTAATGGAGCAGAAGAGAGAGCCTGATGCATGTATACTATAGATTCATTCTCTAGCATATATAAGAATTTAATATATATAGGTATTTATATTAATATATAAAAGTAGCTTTATAAATCAGTGGCAGAAGGAAAGTGTAGCCATTAAATGATGCTGGGTCTTTGATTAGGTACTTGGCAATAATAAAAACTAAAATGAATAAGTAAATTAGGTTTTCACCATAAATCAAATCCCAAAATAACTTCCATACTGATCATCCATAAATATGAGAGAGAGAGCAATAGTGAGGGAAAGTGGGGGAGGAGAGAAGAGAGGGAGAACAAATGAGAATAAAAAATGGGAAAAAACAGAATTACCAAGTTATAATGGTGATATACTATCCAGTAGGAGATATAAGAACATTAACATGAGTAGGATCAAGAATATGAGTTAAATCTTACATGCTCTTCCCATACTTTCTTTTCTCTCTCATATGCTTCCTTTCTCTTTCGTTCTAATTGTTCTTTTAGTACAGCAGCACGTGCACTTGCTTGGGCCTGAAAAAAAAAAACCAATCAACAAAGTTAATTACCAGAAAGAAGGGCATAGGTTTTTGTTTTTGTTTTCCCCCACCAAGTCTATAAAGATACTTATTAGCCAAAAAAGAAAAGTTTGGTGGGAGGGAGAATTTCCAGAGTAAAAATATAAGCTCACTTTATATCCCTAGCACCTAAACCAGGGCTCAACACACAGCAGCTCAATGAAAATAAATGCAGGCACATTCTAATGGAAATACAAATGTAAAAGTTTTAAACTATGGTTATTATGTACAGACTTTATTTATCTTCAGAGAAATGGACAATCATATTTTTCATTTTTAAGGTTATCATTTATTCTTTTTAAGGTTACTTGTGTAATAGCTTCATACACTTATGTTATGATTTCATCAAATTGTTCCCCATAAATACAAGATATGAAGAGAAGAAGACACTTATTTTTCAGAAACCAAAGAGTGAGGGATAAATAGGAATGTAAAATTAAGGCAAGAGAATAACTATTCAAGATTTAACACAATTGTCTACCCCAGGTTCCAATTTTCTCAAAGAAAATCTGTTTATTTCTAGTCTATACCTTAAGTGCTTCAACTTTTTTACGCCTCACGTCAGCCTCCTCACTTCCTTCTTGTCCTTCAGAACAATCAGCTTCTTTCTACAAAGCAAGTAGATAAGCAAACCACTTAGGACAGAGCCTCAAATTGAGGGCAGAGCTCAGAAGATAATATGAACAGACTAACACTAAAAATATAAAATGGTAAATTGTTCAACACTATTAATTTTCTCTCACAGCTGCAAGTGAACTCTCTACAACTATCAACTCTTACGGACAATGAATGGGAAAAAAAAGACAAAAATAGAATGATATAAAATGTCCATGGGTACTACCTATGTTTTCCTCTCAGAATTCCTCTGGAACAAATGGTCTTATTGATTGTAAATCCAACATATAAAATTTATTTTTTCTCTATGTATAGTTTTCTGATCTTTGACTTTCACTCTCTTCATCAGACTTTGTGTTAGTGTCATAGCATTTTTAATCTTCCTCGATTATAATGTCATTCAATTACTTTTTTTTTTTCCATTCAACTACTTTTTAAAAAGTTATTTTTCAACCTGCCTTTTCACCACGAAGTTTGGCTCTAATCTGCTGACGCTCATTGAAATTCTGCAGTCTTATTTGTCTCAGTCTTGCCAGATAAACCTACAAGGAGAGAAAAAGAACACACAATATTTTAATTTAAAAAAAAATAAACATTTTTATTGCTAAAATTTTTTTTGTAATTTAAAGAAAAGTGTTAATCTGAATACAAGAAATAAAAGTTTTGAAATCTGGTTAATGGAAATGTAATATTAGCTTTCAAGTGTTTAATTTAGATCAACTTATTTCTGAAAAGAAATACATTATGAATTTTTAATTTTATCAAAAGAAAAGAAATTGAACTCAGAATACTGAATATCAGTTATGGGACAAAATTATGACACAGCAGGTCAGTCAAATTATATTAACAGGTCCCTCTAGACCTACAAAATCCTTAAATAATTGTTAAGAATTTAAACCATGCAAGAAAGGAAGGCAATAAACTCAAAAATGGCTATGTGACGGAGGTAGCGAACATGCGGGAAGCATACCTCTTCCTCTTTGTTTCTTGGCTTCCCTCCTCTTGAAGAGCTGGACCTGCCTCCATACATAGCTGCCAGGTTTTGCAGGATTCCCTGTTCATCATTTAATGTACTAAGTTTAAAGAATGACTAAGGCTACATCAGCATCTTACCTAGGAATATCCAGGTGCCACTTTATTTCTTTTGGCAAATACTGATCATTTCTAGCTGATAAACTTAGATAAACCCTGGCATTTTCCTCTATCGATTTAACCAATACATTCAGTGAGAACATTGAAGGAATCAATTAAACCCCAAACATAATTATTCAAAACAGAGATAAGGTATGTTTTTATTAGCCATTTAAGTGATCAGGTTTTTAAAACTACTTTGGAGGTTAGCTAAACCCCAAATCAAAGTTTTGTTCTGTAAAAGTCCAATCATTTCTACAAATTTGTTTACATACTAAATATATAGTATTTACATAATATTAAATATTTGAACTCAAACTCTATACTCAGGAATGTCCTATTACTATACTGCAAATGATTATACTCAATCACAAACTGACATCATTTTTAAACATAGTTTATCATAAACATGGAATTATGTTCTTATCAGAAATTATTAGTATCCTTTAAAAAAGTATCAGATTGCCAAACTATCCATGTTCTCTTCCTTCAGCACACAACCACGCTATAAGATTTTTCCTTAAAAAAAAAAATCCTCAGTGTCTCACTTCCCTATCTAATGTCTTTTTATCAGCTTGCTGAAAGCATACTTTCTACATACATGACCATTCATGACTTCTATTTTCCTGCTTCCTACTTACTTTTTTTTTCCTATTTACTTTTTAACACACTGCAATCTGGTTTCCAATCCCACCATGACTCTGAAAATTTTCTAGGGTCACCACTGACTTCCTAGTTAACATTTCAAATGGACTCTTTTGAGCAAATTTTGCAATTAACATTTCCACTGGAAATTAGTTTGAATCCACAGAAGTATTTTTTGTCTCATAAAAACATATATGTTCGCTGTAGAAAACTTATAAAATATAAATCACAGTTCTACCATCTGAAACACCTAAAGTCTGTTATTCCCTTCCAAATTTCTGTGCATATGTACAAATACTTAAGCATCTTATCTTTATAACACTTGAATCTTACTATAGTTTTTCTGATTTAACCTTAATATTAATTAGCATATTAATTTTAATATTCTGAGTCCCTCCTCATATTCAATATCCTTAAAAACATTATTAACTGACTATATGATATTCATAATACACCACCAAATAGTGTTCTCTAAATAACACACACACAAAAAAAATCTCTCTTCTCTTTCATATTTATATTAGCATTCTCTCTTGGGTTCTTCCAATCAATCTTCACTATTTTTCACAGGCTTTTCTTTTCCTTGGCTCATCACTAATGTCAATATTTTGTCAAGATGCATTCTCTGGTCTTCTTTTCTACTCATTCCCAGGCTGTAACATATGTTGCCAATTCCCGAATCTTAAATCAACGTCGCAGCCCTCTTCTCTTGAACTACTTGAACTGACGTCTGGACAACGCCACTCTTTATGTAGCAAAGCTACTTCAAACAATTTACAAACCTGACCTCATCATTCTTTTTACTATATGATTTTATTCCCATTTCAGTTACTGATCACAGTCAACCACCCAAGTCAGTGAGATGGGAGTTATCATTACTTCTTTCTCTTTTCTGCCAAATACAAATGACTGTCAAATTACCAATCTACCTCATCCGAATTCTCTAATTATCCCCTTAGTTTCTGCCTTAGCTCATGCTCTTTTCTCTTGACTCCTGGATTTCCAAGACCTTTCTAATTTATCATTATGCCTCTTAATCTATTCTATACCCCAGTCTACTCGCTACACTGCAGAGTAACCTTTTTAACAGTCTCTTTCACATCAAAGCCCACCTAAATCTTTCAATGGTTCCCATTATCTTCATAATATAATCCACATTCTGTTCTGATGCATAACAGATAAGGCTGTTTGTGACCTAACCATATCTATTCTCATCTCTGCAATGACCTAATCATAAAGCCTACATTCTAGCCACGACAACTATTTGTGGTTTGCAGACTATGCCATGATCTTCTTAATCTCATCTTCTTAAAATGGCTAACTCTACTCCTCTTCCGAAATGCAAATCAAACATCTCACCCATGGAAAGCCTTGCTCATACCTCTTCCAGTCAATTAAGTGTGACGTGCCATGCCATTTTTATATATACCTTCTGCAGCAGTACTCATCAGTGTATTATAATACAATATAATGGTGGACAGGCAGTATACTCTGATGGTTAAGAACATGGACTATGGTAGACTCCAAATTCTGTCAGTTCACACATTCATCAGTGTCACCTACCATTGCTGACCTTCACCAAAATTACTTGCTGTAAGCTCAGACATAATAATACTGCCGATTCTGTGCATGTACTAGAACAAAAAGCATTATTATATGAATGTGCTCTTTCTCCTCTTCCAGTCTGACAAAAGACTACTGCCCCTCTTCAAAGCAATCTTGGCATTAGCTTATCAGATACTTGAGCTTTTGAGATAGAAGTAAGAGACTAGGAAGGTGAAAGAAAACAAGAAATGGGCAGGGCTGGGTAAATATGTGAAGTGAACTCTGAAAAGATGAATGAAATATCTACAGAGTTACAGGAGAGTGGGTGGAGAACTGAGTACTGCTATAGACTCTTACCTTCCTTTCATGGTATTTAAGAACTTTAAGTAAAAAAACCTGAGTTACTTTGAAGCAATTTTTTTTAACATTTTACTTTGAAATATTATAGATTCACAGAAAGGTAAAATATACAGGGAGTTTTCATGGACCCTTCATCCAGCCTCTCCCAATTTTATCATCTTAATAAGGACAGTACACTATCAAAGCCAGGAAATTGATTTCAGTAGTTATACATGCATAATTGTGTATCTGTGTCAATGTAATTTTATTATACATATAGATTTATGTAATCATCACCATAATCAAGATACTCAATTGTACCATTACTTTAACACTTCACAGACACATTCACTATTCCCATACCTAACACCCATTAACTAATACAAACAAAATTTACATATTAGAATCATACAGTACATATCTGTTTGAGATTCACTGTTTATAACAGTATTATTTTCTTGCAGTCCATTCAAGGTATTGGATGCATAAATCAATAGTTTGTTACACTTTACTGCTAAGTAGAATTCAATAGTATGAATATACCATAATTTGTTCATTAATTCACCCACTGAAGGACATTTGGGTAGTTTCAAGTTTTGGACTATTAGGAGTTAAAGTTGCTGAGAACATTCATGTACAAGTTTCTGAGTGAAAATATGTTCTTTTCTCTGGGACATACATGCAAGAATAGAATTACTTGTTCTTGGTATGGTAAATCCATTTTTAGTTTTAAAGGGCACTACCAAGCTATTTTGCAGAGTGGCTTTAAGTTCTTACTAGGAATGATTGATCCAGTTTCTCCACATCATCACTGGCATTTGGTTTTGACCACTTTTTAAAAAAAATATTTATTTATATTTGAGAGAGAAGGGGTGAGAGAGAGATAGTGCAGGAGCAAGGGAAGGGAGAAGGAGAGAGACAGAGACAGAATCTGAAGCAGGCTTCAGGCTCTGAGCTGTCAGTACAGAGCCTGACGTGGGGCTCAAACTTACGAGCCATGAGATCATGCCCAGAGACGAAGTCAGATGCTCAACTGACTGAGCCACCTAGGCGACCCTGGTTTTTATCACCTTTTAATTTTAGTCATTCTGATAGGTGGGTAGTGATACATTAATGTGGTTTTAATTTGCATTTCTCACATAGCTAATGATGATGAACTGTCTTTCAACAGTTTATATGCTATCTGTATACTCTCTTCAATGAAATCTTTGGCTACTCTTTTGCATGTTTTCTAATTGGATACTCTGTGTTTTTAATGTTGAGTTTTGGTGATTCTTCATGTGTTCTAGATACAAGTCCTTTGTTGAATATGGGGTTTACACATACTTTCTCCCAATCTGTAATTTGTATTTTCTTCCTCTCAACAAGGTCTTTTGCAGAACCAAAGTTTTTAATTCTGATGAAGTCCAGTTTATCAAGTTTTCTTTTTATGGACTGTGCTTTTGATGCCAAGTCTAAGAATTCTTTGTCTAGTCTGAGGTCTGAAATTTTCTCCTTCTTCTAAAAGCTTTATAATTGTATGTTTTCCCTTAGAGTGCACGATCTCTTTTAATAAGAGGTGAGGTTTAGGTCAAGGTTCATTTTTTGCCTATGGGTGGAAGTCCAATTTCTCCAGCACTAATACTAAAAAGGCAAACCCTCCTCCATGAATTGCTTTTGCTTCATTTTCAAGAATCAGTTGGGCATATTTGTATGGGTCTATTAGGGTGTTCTCCATACTGTTCCATGAATCTACCTATGTGTCTATCCCTCCACTAGTACTATACTGTTTTGATTCCCATAGCTGTAAGTTAAGCCTTTTTAAAAAAAAAAATTTTTTTTAATGTTTGTTTATTTTTAAGAGAGCGAGAGACAGAGAGAGAGAGCAAGCATAAGCATGAGCAGGGGAGGAGTACAGAGAGGGAGACACAGAATCTGAAGCAGGCTCCAGGCTCCAAGCTGTCAGCACAAATCCTGTGCAGGGCTCCAACTCACAAACAGTGAGATCATGACCTAAGCCGAAGCCCGATGCTTAACTGACTGCGCCACCCAGGCGCCCCAATAAGCCTTTTTTTCTTTTTAAGGGTTTTTTTTGTTTGTTTGTTTGTTTGTTTGAGAGAGAGCACACGTATGAGCAGGGGAGGGGCAGAGAGAGAGAATCCACACCGGCAGTGTGGAGTCCAAAGCGGGGGACTCAAACTCACAAACCTCTAGATCATGACATAAGCTGAAATCAAGAGCCGCTGCTCAACCAACTGAGCCAGCCAGGAGCCCCTGTAAGTAAGCCTGAATAAATGGAAGAGTATTTCTTCCCACTTAATTCTTCTCAAAACTGTTTTGGCTATTTTGGGGTGCCTGACTGCTTAATTGGGAAGAGCATGTGACTCCTGATCTCAGGATCATAAGTTCAAGCAC